TAAATAGAGGCATAAGAATATTTATTTATTTATTTGTTTGATCGTTTGTTTTTGTTTATACATGCACTAGGTACAGTCAGAAGCGCGGGAGGGTGAGAGAATTCACCAGGGCCAGAGCGGGGAGCAGAGCAGGCAGAAGGACCGAAGTACACTGCTGAGGGGAGCAGCGGGCGGCAGGAGAGGTCTGCGCGCCATGTGGGACCCTCCTCCGGTGGCCGGGGAGCAGCCGGGAATTGAACCGGCGCCGCAGAGGCTGTGGGCAGCTTCGCAACCCAGCGCTCAACCGCTGCGCCACCGGGGAGGCCCAATAAATAAATCTTTAAAAAAAAAAAGGAACATTCTTCCAGCCTTTGGGCTGAATCTAGTGCTTTCCCTGGGAATGAAATGACAAAGGTTTGCTTGCCCTTAAGAATGGAATATATTGATATCCAAAATACAGTGCATGATATTCAAAATACATGAACAACTATATTCATCTGAGAAATATGTCACCAAACATGCATCGCTGGGTGTGAAGAGTTCACAGGGAACCAGCCCATATAACCAGTTTTTTATCTTCATCTTTTGAGAGCTGAGATTCTTTTAGATCAGAGTCCAAGCGATTTAATTGGAGCTGGGGCTTACCAAGGCCTCCATGTGCAAGTGGTTTTTGCTAAATCAGAGCCGCTCCACACACCATGAACTTTCTGTGACACACAATATCTAAACAAGTAAAAACTGATAACCAGAAAGTGGGAGTCCTAGCTGCCATGTGTCTTATCACATTAAAAACAAACAATGCATACCATTTCTGAAATTATTCCTGGGTCCTTAAATTAAGGGTTTGGTTAGAGCATCATCCAAATAAACATAAAGTAAAACAAACATTTTGTCTCTGCTTCCACCAAATACTCAAGACTTAAACTTGGCATTATCAGGCTTTTCCTCTGCCCCCTTATCCTGTATGTAAGCCCTACTCAGCCCCTTCCTTTCTGTCTCTACAGAGACCACTCTGCTGTGTGCCTGGATTATCTCACTTCAGCAATAAATTCCATGCATTTTTCTCCATCTTTCACTGTTTACCCTTCCATCTCACTTTCTCCTTAGAACAAACTTCTTGAACGTAGATCTCTCTGTGTCACTGAAAATGCTTGGTGGTGCCTCATCAGGCCTGGTTAGGTTGTCCGGGAAGATTGTGGAAAGGAGTTACTTTCTTCTCAAAGCCTTAAGAATGTGTATTTGTGGGGCATCCTGGGTGGCACAAGGGGTTAAGTCTCAGTGCTATGAGGCTCTCTGCAGTCACCGAAGCATGAGTTCGATCCCCAGCCAGGAGCTAACCCACATGGTACAGCAGACCTCTCCTGTCTTGCCCACTGCTCCCCTCTGCAGTGTCTTTCAGGGAAGAGTAAAAGTATTCAACAAGCAATTTTGAGAAAATTCACCTGTACCATAGGCTAAAAATAGAAAGCAGGGCCTCCCCGGTGGCGCAGCGGTTGAGCGCTGGGTTGCGAAGCTGCCCTCAGCCTCTGCAGTGCTGGTTCGATCCTCGGCTGCTCCCCGGCCACCTGAGGAGGGTCCCGCATGGCGCGCAGACCTCTCCTGCCGCCCGCTGCTCCCCTCAGCAGTGTACTTCGGTCCTTCTGCCTGCTCTGCTCCCCGCTCTGGCTCTGGTGAATTCTCTCACCCTCCCGCACTTCTGACTGTACCCAGTGCATGTATAAACAAAACAAAACAAACAAACAAATAAATAAATAAACATGCCTCTATAAAAAAAATAAAGTGGTTCTGCCACATTTATAAAAAAAAAAAATAAAAAATAGAAAGCAATAAGAGTAAGCTTAAAAAAACAAAACAAAAACTAATACAGTCCCCAACAACAAGGAAAACAAAAGAGAATATCAATAACTGGGACTTTATCAAACTAAAAATCTTCTGCACAGTCAAAGAAACTGTAACTAAAATGCAGACAAACTACTGAGTGGAAGAAAATATTTGCACACCGTGCATCTGACAAGAGACTAATATTAATCATCTATGAAGAACTCATGTAACTCAACAAAAAGAAAACAAATGACACATTCAAAAAATGAGCAGAACTAAACAGACACTCTCCAAAGAAGACATACAGCCTGCCAATGGGCAAATGAATGTGACTATGCCAAAGAAGTTTTATTTATGAACATTTAAATTTGAAATTCATATTATATTTCACATTTTTTTTTTGGCTTTTCCAATCATGTGAAGATACAAGGAATCTTAGCTTTCAGGCTGTACAAAAACACACAGTGGGTCAGCTTTGGTCTGCAGGCAAGCATATGCCAAATCCAGCTTAACGTACAGTGTGTAAGTTCCTAGAGTGGGCAAAGAATATGAAGGTTACCCAAGAAACTGGCCATTGCAATTGTATTTTGTAAGGGAAATGGCAGACAGAGAAGGAAGGAAGATATTTTTCAGTATATTTGTTTGAGTTGCTCACTTTGTGCTTGTTTTACCATTTCAAACATGCAAGTTTCCTTTTTCAAAAGCCCTTTCAGGAACTATAAATCCAACAAAACTGACATGAATAGACTGCTAACTGCCTGTATACTGGAGGGCTCTGTCATTAGTTAAACAGGGGCACCTCCTGCTAATGGTAGTTATTCAGGGATTGGGGGAATTGGGTTTTCATTTGGGTAAGTGATAAATTATGTCCTAGACCTTTGTGTCAATAAGAGAATGAAATTCTTATCTTGTGCTATTTCTCCAGAAAGAGTATGCCAAGTGGCAGGGAATTAGCCAGAACTAAGCAGGAAAAATATTAATACAAATCATTTAATTCAGCCAACCTTTCTTGAGGGCCTATTGTATCACAGGCACTTTGATGGGAGGTGCCAAGTTTATATGGACATATAAAGTAAAATATATGATCTGAATCTAAAATGAAGTGAGTATGTCTAGAATATATTAGAGAGTTGTAATGTGCTATAGAAATAAGGGGGAGCTTGATGAACATGATTGTAAATTTTTTAAAAATGTGAAAAGAAGTTAATATAGATGAAAACTCAAAGTAAGAGTCACAGAATTAAAATCTGTTTTGTAAAAGACCAGAAAAATTGGGTCTTAAGTAACAGTGGTAAATCTTGGTGTGAATATTAGGAAAAATTCCTGACTCTGCTTATTGTGGGTTCCTGGGAATTATTTTTATGAGAAACTGTGAAATTTACTATTCCAAAGACAGGAGAAACCTTCTCTCATGTAATAGTTGCCTGAATTTGGTGTGTGGGTGTGTGTGTGAGGGGGGTGTCTTTTCAACCCATTTATTTTATTTTAAAGATTTGTTTATTTATGCATACAAGAAATGAGATCTAGGCCAGAGGTGCGGGAAGTTGGGAGGATTCAACAGAGACAGAGTGGGGAGCAGAACGGGCAGATTGACTGAAAATCACTGCTGAGGGGAGCAGCAGGAGAGTCAGGAGAGGTCCATTGTGCCATGGGGGTTGCTCCCTGGCCGGCCGAGGATCGAACTCGTGCTACAGAGGCTTCCAGTAACCCCCTGCGCCACCAGGGAGGCTCCTCAACTCATTTATTAGTCAATATTCAGACACATATACACAATTATTATCATTATATACCATCATGTATATTAATATGTGCACATTAAATATATGCAAACACAATTCATATACACATATTAAAACCTGAATCGCCAAGTCCTCAAATAGCTTGAGTATAAATGAAGCCCCATTCGTGGCAACAATTCAACTTTTTTTATTCCTTAGGCATCTACAGATCCCTGCTTTGCTCCAGTATTTCAGGAGTGCTTTGGGGGGGCTCCATGTTTTTTGTCTAATCAGGTAGGCTCTGACTACTTCTCCCATTACTCTGGTGCCATGTGAGAAAGAAGTGCTCAAATGGTGATCACAGCTTCTCCCGAGCACTTCTCCATGTGCTGCAGCAACGCTTGGGCACTGCTACTATTTCACAACTGTCCCAGATAGACCTGAGTCCTCTTGGGATCAAAGTTCCAAAGTGATATGTGGCAGCTGTTGGAGGGTGAGGGTAGATTTGAAATATAGTGTCTCTCCTACATGTACATCTTGTTAGAAGGGTCTACCTTATATGTCAATATTTCCAGACTTAATTTTTATTTATAACCATCTCCTTTCTCATCTCAGGATGGTGGAACAGTTCTTGAATCTGACATGGGGCAGTCAGACCTTGCACTACATTGAGAATTAAACATTCCTCTAATGACTAGGGTGAGGCTTATGTTTCCTGGATCCTCTAGCTTTACAAGGGAGCTTCTTCCAACAAGTCTCTTGGTTTGCTGGACAGCAGATATTGGTGGAGCCATGCCATTGGCTCACCAGGTGAACCCAGTTGTGTCTGCATTTCCCCTGTGGACAAAAGTTGGTTTTCTTTCATGGGAGGCGCTCTCTCTCTTTTGTTTCTTCAACCTCTCTCTCTTGTCTTCTTTTTAACTTAGATATTCCCTAGTAATCCCTGTCTTTAAAAATTACCCTTGAGACACATCCTGCATCAGCTACTTCCCTGTCTCTTCACATTTTCCAAATCCAAACCTATTAGAGCATTCTGATCTTCATTTTCTACAGCTTCATAACAATATGTAATCATCTGTATATTTGTGTGATTTTTTAAAAGTTATTTTATTTATACCAGAACTGGGGTACAGGCCAGAGGGGTGGGAGGGTGAGAGACCGAGTGGGGAGCAGAACAGGCAAATGGACCGAAAACACCACTGAGGGGAGCAGTGGGCAAGACAGGAGAGGTCTGCCATGTCCTGTGGGTATCTCCCTGGCCTGCTGGGAATCAAACCCACGCTGCAGAGGCTGCGGACAGCTTCACAGCTCTGCACTCAGCCCGCTGTGCCTCTGGGGAGGCCCTGTGTGATTATTTTTTAATGTCTCTGTTTCTCATTAAGCTGTTGTCATGGGTTATGGAGGATTTTTCACTATTTTATCTCAGAGTTTCACCACAGAGATTAGTTTAGAATATCTGCTCAATAAATGCTCAATAAAAGCAGCTTTGTGCAGTGACAATATTGTAGCCAATGAAATTTATTCAAGGTGTGATTATTGCTCATTGAAAATGTTTCCCAAATTTTTATTAAATGCATGAATAAGTGAATGAATGCAATCTGGTGGGTTACCTTACCTGGACCAGATGTATCTGAAACTTAATTCTGCTTATGCTGAAACATTCTACTGAGTGAAAGAGAAAGAAATAGAGACACAAATAGTGGGGAAGTTCTAATGAAATAAATATTTGTCCAACAAAAACTCTATATTCTCTTCTTGAGTAATACATATAAATATTTATTTGTAAACAGAATGATTTCTTGGTGGAGACAGGATAAAAATGTTTGAAAATCATCCTCAGAAAACAGCCTAGGAATTTACACATTTTCATTATTTACTTTTTAAATGACTTCTTTGGGGAGGTAAAAGATATACTGAAAGGAAGGCAGGAAAGTTGAAGAGGAGACCTAGAGATAGAACTAAAGGTGAACACTGCTTCTCTTGGGTCTTTGGATTCATCGTGGACATCTCAGGATGAAACTGTGGCATTTTGGTTATATTTGCCATTTCCCCCCCATCCCTTCTTTTCATCCCAGATAAATATATCACCAAGAGTACAAGTGCAAACCCTTGAAAATGTCCCTAAAAGGAAAAATAATAATCTTGGGAGACTACATTCTGAATTTTTGATCTGTTGACACATTGTCTACTCAACTTAAGAAAATTCCTGAGCTTATTATGAAGACCTGTTCAACTTTACAATAAAGCTTAAGACAATAAATCATTGATTCATCTTATTTTTATTCAAGGCCTCTACATTGATTTTTTTTTCTAGGTGTTAAAGAAATAAAGGCGTAACCAAAATATCATCATGTCTTACCCAGTCTCCAAAGTGCTAAAATTTAAATGAAATCATACAAGTGTTTTTCCAGATAAATTAGAGAATACTCTTCTGAAAACGTGTATCTGGGACATCGGTAAGTTCCCAATGAGATAAAAATGATAAATGTTGAGAGCAGACAGGTAGAGAAGGATTATGGCAAAATGCCTACAAAGGAAACCTTAGTATTTCTGTAAATTAGCTTGCTCCTTCCCCACCATCCCGCCTTTTTATTTATTTATTTGCCTTTCAGGGTTTTTCTGTGAAGTCCACCATAACAAAGGTGCATTCTCAAATAGAAAAGTTTGGATGGGATCCAAAATGAATCTCATCGAGCACTCTCACTTACCTGGCATGGACGAATTCTCTCTTTCTGACAGTTTTTTTGGTAAGTTTTCAAGTTCATCTGAACATTAAAGTAAAAGCAAAGTACAATTTAGAAATACATGAGAAAAAAGCCCAGATGATAAATGCAACAGAAAACATTTTTGTCCCTTCTAAGTACTCAATAAACATTAGTTACCAGGAATGGCAGGAGGTGGATCGGACCTTGGATTCATTGAGCCTATTAGTCTTCATTATTTTATAGAGGAATACTGCAAGACTCAGAGAGCTTTGCGACTCGTCCAAGGCCGTGGAGCTAGATAATTAACAGACCTGGGAGTAGAAACGAATTCCTGCTTGAGGGCCAGTTCTAATATTATAGCATGTACTAAAGTATGAAATTATGATTCTTATGGTTTAATAGTATACCTATTAAAGATCGAGATGACTTAGGTTATAGCTCTACCACAGGTTTCCTTTCTACTATCCTTCTGGTGCCTGGGGATATATGGCATGTGTCAGGATTAGTCATTTGAGCTGGATTGAGGACAAACTGTACTAAGGTCTTTTCAGTAGATCTGTAACTAGATGGCACTATAAAATGATATATTGCTCCACTTTATGCATTTATTAAAAACCATCTCATTATAAAGAGTTTCAATTGGGAACATCAGCAAAGAGAGCAGGGGCAATATTTTGGGTGGGGCAGCAACATATTCTGCCACCCTTAAAATAGTTCCCTTTGGATGTCTCCAGTTTTCTATGCTAGACTAACATGTGAGCCATGGTAAACTATGACTGAAAATTCAAACACTTGAAAAATTTTACAAAATTCATTATGTGAAGGTATGATCCCTTGTTTTGTCAAAAAAAAAAAAACAACACAACATTCCTGGGAGAGATTAATTAACAGCTTATGCTATTATCTACTAGTCATTAACATCTCAGTGTGTAATGGTTTATCAGTTCATTTCCAAAAAGAGATCATTATATTTATTACCTGTTTATGTGTTTACCTGTCCTTATACAATGTAAGAGCATTCAAGGGCCATGACCATATTTTATTAATCCTTAATGCACTTGATAAATAGAATCAAGTAATAAATAATAGACAGGAAGGAGAAAAGAGGTTTAGGGAGGGAAAGATGCTTATCAGTAACTCTTAGAGACACTGAAAGCAGCAGTAATTATCTGAAATACCAGTTTTTAAAAAAAATTTAAAAAAATTATTTTCTATATTTCTTACATAATTTTTCATTTTTTGCACAATGTAGGCATTTTCATCTTGGTTATAGTCCCCATAAAATTCCCACCACCCTTGTTTTGATCCTACTCCCTTCTATTTCCCCTGTAGTGTGTCCCTGGTTTATAGTTGCTTGTTGATTTTGATTTTATTATAATTAGTCTTTTTCCTGGTCCCTTATTTAGGTTTTCTAAATTTCTGCTATGAGTGAGACCATCTGGTATTTTTCTTGTCTTTCTGGCTTATTTCACTGAGCATGATCCCTTCCAGCTCCATCCATGTTGCTGCAAATTGCATGAGTTTATCTTTTTTGCTTGCTGAGTAATATTCCATTGTGTACATGTACCACATCTTGATCCAGTCATCTGTTTTTGGGCATTTGGGTTGTTTCCAAAGCTTAGCTATTGTAAATAGTGTTGCAATAAACATAGGGGTGCAGGTGCCCTTCTGAATTAATGTTTCTGTGTCCCTTGGGTATATACCTAGGAGTGGAATTGCTGGATCATATGGAAGCTCCATCTTTAACAGATTGAGGAAACTCCACACAGCTCTCCACAGTGGTTGGACCAGTTTGTACTCCCACCAGCTGTGCAGGAGAGTTCCTTTTTCTCTACAACCTCGCCAACATTTGTAGTTGCTAGTTTTTTTAATATGTGCCATTCTCACTGGTGTAAGATGGTATCTCATTATAGTTTTGATTTGCATTTCCCTGATTACAAGTGATGTTGAACACTTTTTCATATGCCTGTTGGCCATTTGCATGAAATACCAGTTCTTAAACATAGTTGCTATATCTGATTTCCTCATTGGCATTTCTTTATTCTGTGGATGCTGTCAAGGGCAGCTCTCTATTTTGAGCCAATTGATCATCTTCTTTTGGTGTGGCCTTCCAAGAGTCCTTAAAAATTATTTTACAGACATTTTTATACTTTTTGCTCTCCTGATAAGAAATATTAGAACTGTTGGTGCATATCCTAGACTAAGGAAAATTCCATCTAAGGTTTTTCTTTTTTCACGTGAAAACTTCATTTCCTGCTCTGGAATTTTGATTACATGTTAAGATTGCAAATGTGAATTTTGCTGTCATCATTATTAAACTAATCCATTTAACTCCAATTTGTACCTAGTGAAAGAAGTGTAAAGTTTTTCAACACAAACCAGCTCACTTAAACATGTACATCAGGTGAAGGTTTACCTTTGCAGCCAAGAAGAGAAAAAGATAAGCAAGAACAGATAAAAAGTTGTGAAGGTCCTGTCAAGTTAAAAGCATCTGAAAATGATTGCTGAGGAAGCACTATGACTCAAGCTTTCTTTGTTGCTTTATCTCATGTCTCCTGTGCTGATCCATTTTCTTACCCACTTTCCTAACACTTCATTTAAGTGTTCTGAGAATATGTAGCACAAGATATACGAGCTGCCATGCACAGTTGCTATTCCTGGCTGGAGAGTTTCCCCAATTCTTCATCTGGTTCCCTCTCCTGCTAAACTAATATGAACCACAAGAGATAGTAGGTCCTTTTCCTTTTCCACATTAAGTTCTAGAGTCAGCTTGAAGCAGTTTTTTTTTTTTTCCATGTCTCTTTTCCCTAAGGCCTTGATTTTATTCCATTCAATACATCTGAGTTAAAGGTATGTCAGAATAGAGAATGAAGAACATTTTGATTCCTTCTCCCCATCTTTTTTGTGTATCCTGAAGACACTGATAGATTCTGTGGACCTTCTACCCTGTGCTTAGGGTGGAGAGTACCAATAAGGAGATGGTGGCCCATTGATGAGTGATGAGTAACTCACAAGGCTTAGTCACCACTCCTGGATCTGGAGACATCCCAGAGTATTGGAAGTGTTACCTCAACTAGCTGGAAGAGCTGGACTCTTCCAAAGGTCTAACTTTGTAATCTAAAACAGCCATTCTGATGTTACAACAAAGGCAAATGAGGTTTATGGTTTGGTATATGACTAGCTCTCACTTCTTCCATCCAAATGTGGAGCACTAACTTCATGCTAGACATTGGAATAAAGCAATGAGACAGGCAAGATCCCAGTGGAGGGAAGACTCATAATAAATACGCAAATAAGTAAACAAAAATAATATCAGGTAGTTGTAAGTGCTATGAAATCAATAAAAAAGATGGTGTCAGAGTAATTGGAAGGATGGTGTTGTTTTAATGGTTGTGGTCAGGGAAGGTCTCTGAGGAGTTAACAATTGAGTTGAGACACAAAAACAAGAAGCCAAGGAGAACACTCTAGGCAGAGAAAATACCAAGTCAAAGGTGCAAAGTCTGAATGGACTTGAAACGACCTTGTCCTTTTATTTTTATTTATTTATTTGTGAGAAAGTGTCTAGAGAACTGGCTCTAGAACCTTCACTCTTATTGACCAGCATTGGTAATAGGAAACTACAGAATGGGAATTCTAGGACCTCACCCAGTTTTAATATTTGAGTCCACAAAGTGGCCCCATTGTCATATCAGGAAGTGGTGACTTGGCTTCATGTCACCTGGGACATGATGTGACTTTTAAGGTGGCCCAGGTATGTCCCCTTCCTGGGGGACATTTACATTTATGTATAGACCATAAGTAAATCTCAACCTTACGATATTAGGAAAGTGATATGAAGATTAGTCAACAAATATTGATGAACACTAACTGATGGGTACTGAAGACACTGATGACCTCTTGAATGAGGCTTTTCAACTTCTTTTAGAAAAGGTTGTGGAACCCTCACTCCACAAAGACTTTGCTTAAGGGCAAGGGGAGGCATTTTCTCTCACATAAATGGTTACTATGAAAAGCAGAACCTTGTGCAAGGACTTGTATCAGGCTATTTAAGTGACAGCCACTCCAGGAAGCAGAAGCAAAGGACCACGACGGTGAGTCAGGGAAAGAGGGAAAACCATGATGAGATGAGTTCAAATATCATATAGTCAACAGGAGCTTGATGGCACTGGGAATAGAGTAGAATGTTCCACTGAGGGGCTGGGCACAAGGGATAGTTACTAACTGGTCTCTGGTTCCATTGGTTGAGTGTGATCTTTGGGGGTATTAACTTCCCTGCACTTCTGGGTTGTAAATTTGCTACATTCAGTGAAATCATACCAAGTGGTCCCCTGAGGTACTGGAGAAGCAGAAAACATGAGTGGCTTTGATGCTAAATGACAGACTCACATAAAGTAGGTAGAACTCACATATAATCATCTGTTAAAATGAGAGGTGGACTGAAGATTTGGCAATCTACTGGGAGGCATCTGTTACATAGCACAAATGTGATTTCTCCTCAAAATGAAGTGAAATACTCAAAGGAAGGCTAAGTTGTGTGTTGGGAACATGGGGACATGGGAGGGAGGGTGGTGGTATGGTTTTGTTCTGTTTTCTTAGGCTGATCCTTGTAGAAAAGAAGCAAAGAATTAGAGTTGGACTTATAGAATGGACAGAATGGAATTATAGAACTGGGGCTGGAATCACTTCATAAGACTCTCTAATTCATTTGCTGTGCCACATCCCTAACACAGACACATGGAAATCTCGCCCATCGGTAACTCAGGCCACACATAGGAAGGGCATGGTGACCTAGCAGAGAGAGTTCTCCCTTCCTGTGGGTGATCCTGCATGCCAGGAAACTTGGTCAAATATTAATTTAGTGGATTAAGAAAGACTGCTCTAATGAATGAAGAAGGCAGGGTCTTTGTGTAATTAGTGCATAATAAAAGGTAATAATGACAAAGTCCACAGCTTCCCACAGTTTGACACAGTGAATCGGGTAGGAGGTGGTATGTTAACTAAAATCTGCATCTACCTTAGCAAGGGGTAAAGTTGCCACGTGG